TATCCCAAGCACAAAAGCAGCGCACCACAATTATCCACCTATATAGTGCCTAATGGAGCCTCGTGACTCTTCAGCACTAATTAGATTGGTCGATGCTAGCTAGTTTCTTTTTTTCTCGAAAAACAGATTGGTCTAGGAGCCAGAAACAGAAAAAAGAAAGGCGTTATGTCTGACACAAAGTTTCTGGGACTTCACATACTTAAAAGGTAAATTTTACAAGAAAACACCATAAGATGTTGGGTGACTTATTATACAATGACCTAGGCAGCATGGACCGAGCTTGAGCAAAATGGTAAAGGGGCCAAAAATATGTTTTTTTCTATAATATGCAAATATAAATATATAATATAAATAAAGATTAATTCTTTTATTCATAAATTTTACACAAAATTATTTCTATTCATTTTCTATTATTACTAGTGTATAATGGAAATTTTTTATAATTTTTTATGTGAAAGATAATAAACTTTCAAAAAATATAAACAAAGTCAATAAATTTGAGCAATTAATTATAAAGATTAAAAGAATAAATAGTTAAAATTTTGTATATATAGAACTTAAATTCACTAAGTAAATATCATCTATCAAAGCAATATATATTGTAAGTAAAAGAAAATTTGAAAAAGTAATTCTTATATACTATTGACATTCTAGTATTTAATATAAACTATATTATACATATCCATTGTATTGTATATAATGAAATTTTTAGGCGCTAATAAAATGAAAAAATATATATGTAGCAGTTTGCTCATCTCTAATTTTTTTTTTTTAAATGACAGTTATGGCATTCTTTGCTAATTTAATTATAGGCTTAGATGCAGAGGCTATGATCCTTGTTAATTTTAACAAGTGTTTAATAGGTGGGTAGAAGTTAGCAATAATTAAGATATTACTCTTTCTCTTTTAAAAGATTAGTTGTTTAAAATTTTTATGTAATTTTAAGTGATACTTCTTGCTCTTAGTGGCTCCTTTTAAGGGATACTTCTATATATCTAATTTATGTAAATAATAGTTAACTTTTTTTTTTTTTATCAAAATACCTTACAATACTTAACAAAAATTACATATAAAAAATATTTTAATTATCATTTATATTTTATAAAAATGAAAAACAAAAACAAAACATGTGCTGAAAAATCAAAGAACTTGTATTTGAAATTGAAGGGTATGAAGTAAAGGGAAATGAAGAAGGAAAATGAATGCCTTGAAGCATTATATAAAGCAAAACTTTTGATCCTTTAGAAATTTGTGTTGATTTGTACCATAACAATTTACACCACACAAAAATGCCATGTATACATGTATTTGTGTGCATGGAATCAGCTCTGCAACTTGCAGCAAAAAGAAATTAAATGCAAAGGGTCTGTTTTTACATGCCAATTTGTTAGCCGTGAGTAAGACTCTCCGCACCCTAATCTCCATTTTATAGGCCTAAAACAAAAATTTTCTTCTTTTTCTCCGAAGGAATTTTAGCTGGTGACTCAGCTTCCAATCTCTTTCTTTTTTTCTCTCTTGAATCAATTTGTGAAACATTATTTTGTCTTCTTTTTATGATGCCTAAAAGAGAGTAGCTGCCCTTGTCCAAGTATAAGACACCAAATAAAATTGAATGCCCTCCCAAGTCCCTCTTGATTTACTCTACATATAATGATGCTACGATTTTTAGGGCACAGACATATATAATGCAGCTGTTCTAGAAAGGAAGAAGAGAGAGAATCAATCTGACCTTCCTTCTCATTGTCCTCCGTACTAGGGTCTTTTTATAAAAGGAATTGTGGGTAATTAGTTTTGGCGGATCAAGTTATCAGCCCAAATTCACGGCTTATAAGATTGTTGAAAACTTAAAGTGGGAGTTTTCTTTTTTTTAAAAAAAAAAAATCTTCAATAGTATAATAAGAGATAACTCACTTCTCATTCCTTAATCTTAATATCTACATGTCATACAATTGAACTCAAACTCCCTTATTTTCGATGAAGAAGATTACTATTGACCTAGCTCAAGTGGGAGTTAGAAGTGAGTTTTAATTAATAATAATTTTTTCAGTATGTACCTTTAGAAATGTGTATTTATTATATTTTTTATAGTTAATTTGTATACAAAATATAAATATTGATTTTAATTTAATCAATTGATTAATTAACATTTATCTAGTTGGCAATGGTGTATAATTAAAGTCATCTTTATAGTTCAAGTTTCATGCATTTCAATTTGGATTGTAAGTTAAAAGTGTAATTTTGATACTAAAATTACTAAATTATTATTAATGAATTATGTTATAAGAAAGAATTTTGTTAAGAATATTTTAGTTATTTTAGGACACAAATTAGTGCAATCCAACTTGAAAATACTTTTTTGTTATAGTTTTTCATGTAAATTAATTATAAAAGAATATATCTATTGCATATTAAACCTATTGTTTTAGGATACAAATTAGACAAACCTAGAAATGAATAATGCTTATAGTTGTTTCTCCTTGGCCAAATGTAATGTTTATAGGTTGAGTGTGTTGGCTCAAATGCTCCAAGAGGAGGTAAATTGGAGTCTTCAAATTTTTTTTCTTTTTTTCAACCACCAAATATAAAGTAAAGAAGAAAGAAAGAAAAGATTGCACAATCAATTTTATAGAGATTTGACCCAACCACTTTGCACATAATTCTCTAATTTGGTTTCACTAACCAAGGATTTATTCCTTAGTCTCTACTTGTGATCAAAAGTAATTTAAAAAAAGCTATCCAATCATTTACAAAGTGTTTTCACTCAAACACTTCCCTTTTCAAAGAACCCCAACAAACCTCACTTGATTTCTCTCTTGAAGTTCACCCTCAAGTATCACTTATTAGAGTTTCACTCACACCTAAGATTCCAAAGAAATGATAGAAAGAAAGATTACGAAGGATAAGATCTAATTGGTAAGTGAAAGCTCAAAACTTTTAAAAGGATTTTCAAATCTAAGGACAATTATTAATACACCCTTTAGTTCAACGCATCCGCCAACACTCATCAATTCAACTATTAAAATCTAAAACTTTAGGTTTTCCTACCTTGAGTTCAAATTTGAAATTAAAAATCTTTTAATGGTTGTGTTATGAAATGTGTTGAACAGGAGGATGCACCAATCATTAGCCTAAATCTAAACTCAATTCTTGTTTTTGATCATCTCATATGTGTTTAGAGACTCTCTAAGGTATTTACCAATCATATTTTTAGAGTCCATGTAGAAACTAGTTGTTTATAACTATTGGATACATTTCAGAATCATGGGTTTCTGAAATATGATCAATGTTGCTGTCAAAAGAGTCAAAGCTAGAAAACAAGACTTGAATTTTTAACTTTAGATTCAAATCTTCAAACCAAGAGCTGAATCTTCATAAATTTTTGGAACTTGACCAATTTTTGTTCTCTATTCCAAGAATCGAATATGCAACTTAAGAATTGAATATAACCCTCCAAGATTCGGTTTGTCATTTCTACATTTGGATCTCTTTTGTCTCCTAAAATTTCCATCCTTTTTGCTTCTAAGATATGAATCTAAAAACCTAGATTCCAATCTTCAAGTATTTTGTGTTTTTCACACCTCAATTGCAAATCATTATATCTTTCTCATTCAAACTTTGTTTTGGACATTCTTATAGTCATTGGAAAGTTTAGGATGCCTACTTTAATATGAACTAACTCTTAAATCAAAATTGGTATTTATAGATATATATTTTTGAATGAGTGAGAGGAGATCATTGTTGCAATGAATGGAGGCTTGACTTTATATGAGCTCTCTCTCTAAAAATATTCTAAAGGACAATTATTGATATACCATTTAGTTCAATATACTCCACAAAACACTCTTTAAGAAATTATTATTTTTAAATTTGAATTAAAGGTAGAAAAACGTAAAGTTATAAATTTAATGGCTAGACCGGTAGGTGTTGTAAGGTGTGTTGAACTAGAGAGTGTATCAATCATTTTTCTATTCTAAAATTATATCATTTTAATATAGTATCATGAAAAAAGATTAAAACAATCTCATCTCTACTTAAGGGCATGTTTGTTATGATAGTTAAAATTTAGCGAATATCGGGTAATGAGTAATAGATAGTGGATAACAGATACGATAGTAGGTGGGGGGTAGTAGATGATGGTTAGCAGGTGACAGTTAGCAGATAGTGATATTTATAACATTTCTTGATAACCATTAAATGCATTGCAAAGGATTGATGAATTTTCTTTTCCTTGGAAATTGGATAGTGGGTTTCACATAATTTTAATAATAAACTTAGGGTTTTATTTTGATTATTCTTTAGCTACATACAACCTACCTTGAAAGACACCACTACCATCCAAATTGAAATAAAAGTAATGAAATTAAGGGTTTAATCTTAATTAAATAGTTATAAAGGTTCTAATGTGAATTGAATAATAAAACTTAATGCATTAATTTTATAAATTTTATTTTAGCACATACCTAAAAAACTGTATTTTAACGCATATTAAGGCTCATTTCATTAAATTTAGTTGTTGATGAACTTTGATTTTAAATTTAATTATAAAGTATTTAAAGTTTATTGGTTGAAAAGTAATTCTCTTGGACCATGTGGAGTCTACATGGTGCCATTGCATATAAGAGCTTAACAGAATAAGGGAGTTAACGGTTATTGACGCACGGTTTCACTTTAAAACTAAGTCTAGTGACTAAATTTACTAATTTGAAAGATGAGTGATTAAAATGAAAGTTATGTTTAAGTTTAGTGACTACAAGAGTAGATTGACCTTTTTTAAGTTACATTTCCTTAAAAGAAAAGATTATCTTCTTGAGTTATATTTTTTTATTTGATGTCTTTATGTGCTCAATTTCAGTCATGTGTTATTTGAATTTTCATGTCGTGCTTTTCGGAAACATAATGGGTAAAAAATTACTCAATTATATCTGGTAAATTGTCCATTACTCAAAAGTTAAGTGTAAGAATAATATATATTTGAACAATGATTGGCACACATCGCAATTCCTCACCCTTCGTTACACACTCTCACCTTGTTATTTTATCCGTTAACTCCGTTATTTACTCTGTTAACTCTGAAGACACTTGATGGCGGCGAATTCCTACTCCTTCCCTTCCTCTTCTGCCACCTTACTATTCAGTAGAACCCAGATCAAGTTCTACATCTGCGTTCTGTTACAGAACCTGATCTGGGTTCTGCAACCCAGTTGCAGCATTCTGTTGCAAAAGTCAGATCTGGGTTCTATTATAGAACCCGATTTGGGTTTTGCAACCCAGATGCAAAACCCAGATAGGAGCAAGGAAGAGAAGGAAGAAGAGGGGGAGGAGAGGGAAAGAAAATCAAAGAACCAAGGCTGGGTGAAGAGGAAAGTTGTGTTGGGTGAAAAGGAGAGCTGTTGGGTTAACGAAAGAAACGAAGATAAATGGAGAGAAACGGAGACGAAGTGAGTGTGTGACAAAGGGTGTGATGACAAAGTGTAATACCCCAAAAATTTCTAGGATAAATAAGTGAGTTAGGGACTTGTTTGAGAAAGAAATATTTTTTTGGGCTTAATAGCCAACATTCCCAAACTCGAGGGACTTAAAAGAGGATAAATTTGGATAAGGATTAGCTTTTTTCTTTCCTCCTTTCCCTCCTTCAGCCCGATTCTGCTCTTCTTCTTTCCCGTCTCCCCTGCAGCCGAAGAAGACCCAGGCCCCCGACACACCTCCCTTAAGAAAACCGGTGAGAAAGCTTGGATTTCTCCTTCTCTTCTTGCTCTAAAACACATGTAGAACCCAGAAACGTTCCCCCTCTCTGCAGAAATCCAGATCTGCTCGGTTTCTCCCCTCCCCTGTCCGTGAGCTGCAGCTTGTGGGTGCAAAATTCTGGGCTTTTTCGGTAAGAAATAGCCATTAAATTCTCTGTTTTTCCTTGAATTAGCTTGGGTTCATGTTAAATCTGTTGTTTCTCCAGATTTTGGGTAAACCCGTGAGCTTTCCCTGCAGCTTGCCGCCGGCCTCTTCCCCCCTGCAGCTTCGGTTTCTGCAGCTGGAAATTTTGGTATGTGGCAGCCACTTTAAGCCTAAAATTGTCCATTAGCTGCTGAGGTTGTCCATGAATTATTGCTGCCTTGTGATGTCCGAATTTGGCTGAAAATTGGGGATGAATTTGGGTAGTAATTAGAGCATAATTAAGCTTAATTCATGTGTAAATTGCTTGAATTGACTGCTGTGTGATTTTTGGAGAGAAATCCCGTGAATTAGCCATGGTTTTGGCCAATTTTTGGAAGTTGCAATACTGTTCACGGCGTGAGCACTGTTCACGGCACTGTTCTCAGATTACTGTTCACACACCGAGGGTCAATAATTAACGGGGATTTAAATGATTAGTTTGTGATATAAGAACGAATTTGGAGATATCTGATAATGTGGAGACTGATCACTTGAATTTGTGATACTAGGATATTAATTTTGAGGTATTTTGATTAGGTTCCTTATCGTTCTATCAGTTTAGCATTGAGATCGAGTCTTCGGTTTTATGCGAGTGAGGTAAGTAAATTTATGATAATGCCCATACAGTTTTTAAAAGCATGTTTTGATTTGTTTTTAAAGTGGTGGCAGGACTAAACTCGTTTTACACAAGTATGATCAATTGAAATGAAATTTTTATGCTTTTCATTAAATTGAGCATACTTGAAATTTAATTGATTGTCCTGATGATTTGAAAGTGATTGGTGAATTATGAATTTTCTGTTAAGTTCTGCCTGTTTTGTCTTCGATGTGGTTATGTTATTAATGATCCTGCTAGTGAGGGTTAAACGCTAGCACATATCGACATGTTATTGATATAACCGGTTCGTTCAACCCTGCTAGTGGGGGTTATACACCAACAAATAGTGTGCCTGCCAGTGGGAGGTTTATAACACTGGTCGTGACCTATAGAGGAGACATCTATTTCGTTCCCGCACTATAACCGTTTTCGTGATTATACTTGTTGGCATGCTATACGTTTAATTAAGGGCAATCCATATTTTACTTACTGAGTTTATCTCATAGTTTTTCCTTGTCCACCATTTTAGGAAACGAAACCGAAGACAAGGAAACCACGGGAAGTGACGAGTTAGAAGGCTAGCCATTTCGAGATTGATATAGATTTTAGATATAGATCATGATCTTGTAAACTGGATTGGATTTGGAGATTTTATGATATTGGAGCAAATTATAAAATCTCTTCAAATTTTGTGGTATCAGATGTGAATTGGATAAGTTTCCAGCCTTGTGCATTTGTGGGATCCACTCATGAGTGCACAGCGTTTGTCACGTCTTCGGATTTGGGTTCTGGGGCGTGACACAAAGTGTGCATACATCATTTTCCTATATATTTTTATTGGATAAAAATGAAATTTATATAAAAGATAAAGATAAGTACAATGCATCACCCAGCTCTTATGGGCTCATTGCGATTCTTACTCTTGGGAAAATTTGTCCTTCAAATGATGAGTAAAACACTTTGAAGACGTTGGTTACTTTAAAACTTGCTTATAAGTGATTTTTAAGAAGTTAAATTCAAATTTTCCTCCACATCTTTTCAAATTGTAGAGATCCAAAATTGTTTTTGGACTTTGCTAAATATATCCCTTACGTTTGCCAAGCTGGCCAGCCCTTTTTATGGGAAAAGAAAGAGTGCAATTCTTTAGCGTTAACTCTTGTGGAGTATTGATGCAGGTCAAATCTCATGTAACTATCTTGATTTAGATAGTTCCTCAAAAGAAAGATGGGCTGCTTTAGCTTCACCACCCAATTAGTACAAAAAACCTGTTAAAGGCAAAAGATAGATGACCTTTTATGTCTAGTTGTTTATGCGTCTGCATCACAAAATGAAGCATGCCATGAACCTACAACTTCTCGTCATTAGGATGCTTAATTAAAGCCCATTAACATCAAACTAATTAGGAAAGTTTAGCTATATATGTTGTGGTCACATTGCTTTCATAGGATACTAAAATCACTAGGTTAATCATTCTTAAACAATAGGTTTTTACCAAGAATCATATACTAATATCCAATAAAACAATAGCAAATTAAAATCTGGTTTTTAGAATTTTTATACTTTATTTTACCCTTTTTGTCTCAAAATAATTGTTATTTTTTTATTTTGAACTCAAATTAAGAATTTAGATAAAATATTTATATTTATATATAATACCCTTAAAAATAGATAAAAGATAAAGAGAGATCTTTTGTGATTGGATGATTAATTAAAATGAATGAATAATGATAGAGTTAAAGTAAAAAAAAATATGTCTACTTGAAAAATAAAAAAAATAATTAATTTGAAATAAATTCAAAATAAAAAAAAAAACTATAATTATTTTAAAATAGGTAGAATAAATTACTCTAAAGAAGAGATTGATTAAAAAAATTATATAGAATTACATATGATTTCTAGAGGTACACGTGATATCCTCCAAAAAATATTAAGATCATAAAGGAGATATGCTCAATAATGGAGAGGGACAAAACTCCAACAAGATACCCGATATACCGAAGCATTGACCAGTTGAGAAGGGGACCAATTCTTTCTTTTAGTAAAGATGAGGAGAAAAAAGGGGATGCATCAAACATGTCTACTCATACCCATAATTTTTTTTTGAACAGCTACTCATACCCATAATTTAGAAAATAGAAAAGGAAACGCACTTCCAACAAACTAAGTAATGTAGTGGGGCTTTTTTTTTTTTTTTTTT